ATGTTATGGAGAAACCCGTCCAATATCACGTAAGATTTTCTATTTTCATCAACATCAAAACAAGCACTTCATGTCAGAAGGATATGTTGCCGCTTTACGGAAGTTTCAAAACGCTAATGTCCAAGCTGTTAAGGGCATTGCAAGGAGAGGAGCTGAATGGCACGATAATCTCTGCCACTAAATTTTTGCATAACTGCATATATATATAGTATATATAGTGACGAGTGCATCATCTCACTCAGGCCACCATCCTTTATCAGCAGATTCTTTTCAGGGACGATCTAGTCGCACCCTCATCAGTTCGTTAGCTAAATCATCTATATATTTTAGGTGCTCGTCTTAAGTTGGCCCAGTCTCAAGCTGACCTCTAATTTGAATAGCATAGTCTTAGTGTCAGGATCCACCTGCTTCACACCTTCTGATAGCAGAGAGTGTTGTAGCCATGCGAAGGTTGCCAAAGTTCTATGCGATGAATATGCTAGCCAGTACAGAATCGTTTTCCGTTCCGAACCTAGCAGGTATACACCGTGATGCCGTAATAACACATCATGCAAACTGCAACGGCTGCACGAGTGGCAGCTCACCGTCGAAAATTGGCAAATTTACTCATTCACAGAGATGAGAAGCAACTGATTGATGAGGACATAGGGCACCAACTCGATATAGTTGGACTCTCGTCAAAGAAACGAAAAGGCTCTGTAATCCTGATCCTCTGCGGTTGGAAGACACTCTCCTCAGATGTCGATTTCACCTGATGCGGTTGACCTATGTTAACTTTTCTAGTAGAACCCAACCGGACTGACAGAATCACTGATCGGAATCCTCTCAGTAGAGGAGTGGCAATCCTACAACTGAAGTAATAATAGGCTACAGCTCAGAACTTTATACATGTCTATTCGTTCAATTCAAAGAAGGAATACGAGTCATTCCTGGAAGAAGTAGATGCCGCTATGTACTACGTGCCAACTAAGAAATTCATCACTCTGATGGGCAGTTTCAATGCGCATGCCCAGCAGACACTGTAAAGTGGAAAGGCGTGATTGGAGAGCAGATTTAGTGACTTTACCATTAACGTCATGAAGTAACGGTAGCATTGTGCAATGTACTTTATTAAAGAACACCTTCAAACATCGAAACGTGCATCAGTCTAGGTGGTATTGGCAAGCTTCCACACAGAAGTTCAAGATTGTTTGATAATGATGTCACTGGACTTTTGGTATGGCGTGTTGGCACAGTTGTATAAGAGTTCTGCATTAAACACAGGATGTACGGAATTCGATTCCTCTCAAGGGCAACCTTTGTCTTATTCACAAATTTCCGTGAGCAAAGAATTTGCCACGCGCTGTTTCAGACTGGGGTTGCTCAGTCGGTAGAAAGCCAAGCTCAGAACAGAGAGGTCTAGAGTTCAAGACCTCGGTCGGGGTCACTCCTTCCACTTCTTAGGTTGATAAATGAGTATCACTTTGCAGGATAGAAACAGGAGACTATGTTTGCTACATGTCTGTATAATATACTTTTTAAAATACGGTGTTCATAGCTAATTGCATAGAAACAGAGATTACCACCGCAACATTAACTTCATGAAAAAAGGCACCAAAATGGCCCAATCGAGAAAGTGAAGCAAGAATGACATTCCAGTGACACCAAATTTTTGTTTCTCCTTTGACTAGCGAAGCTCTGTAATGGATAATGGCGGTAGGTGAGACGTTGAGCTGTCATCCGATCATCACCTTTTGCTGGCACCCTCTACTGAAAGGATGAAGTACCATTAGAAAATCTTGGGGGGGGGGCTAACCAGAGAATCAAATGGGTAACATTATGTTTTGCGCATATGAGGGCGAAACTTGCAAAAATCTTCGTATGACAGATGACTTGAAGACCGAATGGAAGGTCTTAATGAGCGTCTTACTCGGGCCTGCCACCTGGGAGTGGGTCAGAAACGCATTTCCTGGTAGATTCCAGACGTTCAATCTTCCATCAGCGAGAAGACAGCTGCATTCAGTTGGAAGCAGAGAGCATTCAACTCGAATGCCGCATACAAAGACGCAAAGGCTGGCAACGAAAATAAGGTCAAAGCAAAGGCTGATTCCTGGAAAAGTTCGTAAGATGCTGGGATCAAATTTGCAGACTGCAAGTGGTGAAATCTAAAAGGCCATCAGCCACCTCTGAGAGGGTAATAACTACAGTCTAGATTGAAAGTGGGAGGAAGTGATGGACTCGTGAGTTGGAATGGTCAGCGGCGTTCTGCGTATACTAGCTCGACCAGTAGCGACTTAAGCAGAGCTGGATTTGAAAATAAGTTTGCCTGTGTTCA